TCACTGTCCTGAGCACAGAGACAAAACTGCACACTGACAAAACACTCACTGTATTTCTCTAGATTATAATCACACTGAGTTATATACTAAAGTATGAGTAACAACAGGAAAAAAAGATAAGCTTTTCTTTTTCTTTCCACTTTTCCTCAAAACTACTTATCTTTTTTTTTTTTAGTACTGGAGATCAAACTCAGGAACTTGCACTTTCGAGGCAGGCATGGGTGCCACTGAGCTGAATCCCCAGCCCTACTGATCCTTTGATCTTTTTTTATTTTCAAAGAAGAAAGAATTTGCCAGGTGCACCCTAGTAATCCTAACCCTCAGGAGGCTGAGGCAGGAGGATAAGGCCAGCCTGAATGACACAGTAAGATCCTATCTCAAAAAAAAAAAAAAAACAAAAACAAAAGAAGAGGGAATTCTTTGTATAGCCTTTATTGTCACATAAGTCAATACCAGATAAGAGACCAGCTTTCTTCTTGCTGTTTACCAGGTGAGTTTGCTTGGGTTTCAGAGTAATTTACATAGAGGAGGTCATCACTCATGTAACCCATTACTGACTCACACTGTTAAGAGTAAAGGGAATGGAGTGGGGAGGAAGTTATTCAATTTTAGGAATTAAATCTATGCATGTTTGTTTGTCTAGCTATTTATTTACTGATGGTAACCCAGGGCCCTCAGACTGAGTTGCATTCCAACACCTTTTATTTTTTTTATTTTGGGACAGGGTCTTGCTAAATTATCCAGACTGAACTCCGACCTGTGATCTTAAGGCCTCAGCCTCCTAGAGTGGTGAGATGATAGGCATCTGCCACCACTCCCAGCTCCTTTTCATTCTTGAATTCCTTGGACTAAGGTTAACATCTCTCCCGCAAAAGGGCAAATGACCATTTCCTTTGCTGGAAAATACACAAAGGAAATAGTTAGCTAATCGCTAAACATGAAGTAATAACAAAAGATAAAAAGATAAGCCAGGCATAGTAGCACACGCCTATAATCCCAGCACTCAGGAGGCTAAAGCGGGAAATCACTGCAAGTTCCAGGCAAGCCTGAACTACACAGTGCAACTCTACCTCAAAAAAGCAAAAGAAAAAAAGAAAAGGGAAGGAGAAAGGTAAAATGGGAAAAAGTAATTAAGATTAATTTTCAATTGATATTTTTATTTGGGGCTCGAAAACAAATTCTAATTTAAAAATACCCCTAAAGGGCACCCCCCCCCCCC